GGGACTGGGGGAACTGGTACGGGACTGGGGAACTGGGATGGGACTGGGGGAACTGGGAGCACTGGGGGAACTGGTGTGTGACATACAGGGACACTGGTGGGGTACTGGGGACCCAAATTTGTGACCCCCGTCCGCAAGGTGCCATCCAGGAGGTGGTGGCACTCCTGTCCCCTTGTGACCCCTCTGTGACCCCTCTGTGACCCCCGCGTGACCCGTCCGTGTCCCCTGTGTCCCCAGGTGCTGTCCGGGGCGGTGGTGGCACTCCTGTCACCCCCGTGACCCCTCTGTGTCCCCTCCGTGTCCCCTGTGTCCCCAGGTGCTGTCCGGGGCGGTGGTGGCACTCCTGTCACCCCCGTGACCCGTCCGTGTCCCCTGTGTCCCCAGGTGCTGTCCGGGGCGGTGGTGGCACTCCTGTCACCCCCGTGACCCCTCCGTGTCCCCTGTGTCCCCAGGTGCTGTCCGGGGCGGTGGTGGCACTCCTGTCCCCCCCGTGACCCGTCCGTGTCCCCTGTGTCCCCAGGTGCTGTCCGGGGCGGTGGTGGCACTCCTGGCCCCCCCGTGACCCCTCCGTGACCCCTCTGTGACCCGTCCGTGTCCCCTGTGTCCCCAGGTGCTGTCCGGGGCGGTGGTGGCACTCCTGTCACCCCCTGCGCCCCCCACCCTGGCCCCGGCGCTGCTCCAGACCCTGGCGGGGGCGGCGGCCCTGGGGGGGCTCCTGCTGCGGGACCCCCCCCGGCTGCCCCCCGGCTACGGCACCTGCCTGGTACGGGGACGCGGCGGTGGCACCCGGGGGACCCTCCCGAGTGCCACCCCTCCGTGTCACCGTGTGTCCCCGCCGTGTCCCCACCACGTCCCCGTGGTGTCCCTCCNCGGCGGTGGCACCCGGGGGACCCTCCCGAGTGCCACCCCTCCGTGTCACCGTGTGTCCCCGCCGTGTCCCCACCACGTCCCCGTGGTGTCCCTCCTGTGTCACTCCGTGTCCCCAAGGTGTCACCCCCGTGTGTCAACCCCAAGGTGTCCCCCACTGTCCCCACAGTGTCACCTCCTGGTGCCCACCTTGGCTTTGTCCCCACAGTGTCCCCTCTGTGTTCACCCCTCCCTCTCCAGATGTCCAGCAGGGTGTCACCCCCGTGTGTCAACCCCAAGGTGTCCCCCACTGTCCCCACAGTGTCACCTCCTGGTGCCCACCTCGGCTTTGTCCCCTCTGTGTTCACCCCTCCCTCTCCTGATGTCCCCCAGGTGTCCCCTGCCCTGCTGTCACCCCATGGCGTGTCCCCTACATGTCCCCAGGGTGTCACTCCGTGTCCCCATGTCATCCCTAGGGTGTCCTCCGTGGTGTCCCCTCCACATCCTCATAGTGTCCCTTCATGTCATCCCCATGGCGTGTCCCCTTGTCACCACCCCACATCCCCATGGTATTGGGTGTCCCCCTCCATGTCCTCATAGTGTCCCTCTGGTGTCCCCCCATGTCCCCAGGGTGACCTGCTGCTACCCCTCCATGTTCCCCTGGTGTCCCAATGGTGTCCCCATTGTCACCACACCATCCCTGGTGTCCCCATAGTGTCCCCATTGTCACCACCCCTCCCCTGGTGTCCCCAAGGTGTCCCCACGGTGTCCCCCTCTCTGTCCCACCAGGACCTGCTCCGGGCCATCAGTGGGACCCTCATCTTCCTCGTGGCGGCCCTGGTGGCCTTGGCCTCGTCCCGTGACGCCCTGGCTGCCACCACCTTCGTGAGTGTCCCCGAGCCCCGCCCCCTCCGAGCCCCGCCCCCGCCTGACCGGGCCACGCCCCCTTCCCCTCCCCCCAGACCTTCAGCCTCCTCCTGGCCTTGGTCTTCGCCTTCGACACCTTCGTCACCTTCCGCACGCGGGTGGCCCCGGCCCTGGGACAGGGTGAGGGGACACCTGGGGCACCCTGGGACAGGGTGAAGGGACACCTGGGGCACCCTGGGACAGGGTGAGGGGACACCTGGGGGAACCTGGGACAGGGTGAGGGGACACCTGGGACATCCTGGGGTGGGGCTGGGGACACCTGGGGCATCCTGGGACAGGGTGAGGGGACACCTGGGGGAACCTGGGCTGGGGCTGGGGACACCTGGGACATCCTGGGCTGGGGCTGGGGACACCTGAGACACCCTGGGACAGGGTGAGGGGACACCTGGGACATCCTGGGCTGGGGCTGGGGACACCTGGGGGAACCTGGGACAGGGTGAGGGGACACCTGGGACATCCTGGGGTGGGGCTGGGGACACCTGAGACACCCTGGGACAGGGTGAGGGGACAACTGGGGCACCCTGGGGTGGGGCTGGGGACACCTGGGGCATCCTGGGACAGGGTGAGGGGACACCTGGGGCACCCTGGGATCGGGTTGGGGGACACTCTTGGGTAAGGTGGGGGGACATCTGGGACACCCTGGGGTGGGGTTGGGGACACCTGGGTTATCCATAGGTGAGGTGGGGATGCCTGGGTAATCCATGGGTGAGTTGGGGGACATCTGGGACACCCTGGGGTGGGACTGGAGACACCTGGGACATCCTTGGGTGGGGTTGGGGGACACATTGATCCTCCTCCTCCACCATCTCCAACTGTTCCTCCTCCAGATCCTGACATGGAGGGCCACTGATGGTCACCACCCCCCACACTGTCTCATTGTCTTCTGGTCCAGTCCGCCATCCCCCACCCCAAAAATTAAACCTTGTCCCACACCTGGTGCTGCTCAGGGTCGTGTTTTTGGGGTGGGGTGGCCGAGGGGACATTGTGTCCCTCCTGTGGCTCATGAACGGGTTAATGACGGCATTGGGGTCCCCTCGTCTTGGACAGGGGGTAGGGGGTGTCACTGGTGGGGAGAGGGTCCACTGTGGGGTTGGGAGTCACTCATGATGGTGAGACCATCATCATCATCATGGGTCCATCATGGTGGTGGGGAGTTCATCTCATCATCATTGTGGGTCCATCTTGGTGGTGGTGAGTGACTTGTATCATGGTGGGGGGTCCCCTAGTGTGGTGTGGGGGGTCCTTCATGGTGTCACCATGGCTGGTCCCTCACGGTGGTGGCAGCTCCCTCATGACAGGGGTAGGTCACTCATCATGGTAGTCACGGGTCTCTTATCATGGTGGAGAGTCCACTATGGTGGTCAGTCCCTCAATATGCGGTGATGGACCCCTCATGGTGATGGTGGGTCCCTCATCATCATGGTTGGTCAGTCATTGTCATGATGGGACCTTCATCGTGGTGGGTCTCTCATCATGGTGTGTCCCTTGTGGTGGCAGTGGAGTCACTCGTGGTGGGTCACTCATGACGAGTCCTTCATGGGGATGGATCACTCCTCATCATGCAGCTTCTGGAGTGGGGTGGGAGAGAAGACAGAAGGTCCAGGGGGGGTGTGGGGCAGCTGTGGGGGGTGACAGGGAATGACAGGGGATGACAGGGGGTGACAGGGGTCCCACCTTGGCTCCGATGTCACGGCTCTTGGCCCGCAGCTTGTTGACCTGGGATTCAGCGATGTCCGCGCGTTCCTCGGCCTCATCCAGCTCGTGCTGCGCCTTCCGGAACTTGGCCAAGTTGGTGTTGGCCTGTTCCTCCTGGGGGGACAGTGGGTCAGGGGGGTTTGTTCTGGGGAAGGACATCCTCCTGTCACCCCACAACTGAGATGGCTTCAAGCGTCTGTCTATCCATCCTTCTCTTCCATTAATCCATCCATCCATCCATCCATCCATCCATCCATCATCCATCCATCCATCCATCCATCATCCATTCATCCATCCATCCATCATCCATCCATCCATCCATCCATCATCCATTCATCCATCCATCCATCATCCATCCATCCATCCATCCATCCATCCATACATCCATTATCCATCCATCCATCATCCATCCATCCATCATCCATCCATCATCCATCCATCCATCCATCCTTTATCCATCATCCATCCATTATCCATCCATCCATCATCCATCCATCCATCCATCCATCCATCCATCCATTATCCATCATCCATCATCCATCATCCATCCATCATTCATCCATCCATCATCCATCCATCATTCATCCATCATCCATCCATCCATCATCCATCCATCCATCCATCCATCCATCCATCCATCCATCATCCATCCATCCATTATCCATTCATCCATCCATCCATCCATCCATCCATCCATCCATCCATCCATCCATCATCCATCCCTCGCTCTGTCCCATTCACTCACCGCCTCCTCCGCCTGTCTCTTGTAGGCCTTGACTTTCATCTGCAGTTTGTCCACCAGGTCCTGCAGCCGCAGCAGGTTCTTCTTGTCCTCCTCCGTCTGTGGGAACAGGGACAGGGTTGGACACTGGACCAGAGCACAGCCAGAACTCCTGGGCCTCAGTTTCCCTTCCCAGA